TTCATACACGTCTTAGTGGAAAAGGACACGCCCGTTATATGTTGCGTAATTAGAAAGGGATTTCCCTGGTTAACAGGTTAAGTATTAGGTCACTCACAACTAAGATAGATCGAGTGTCACTAGTCACGTGACTTAAGGTGAGTTCAACTCTGTTAGAAAGAAGACACTGAAACGAAAGTATCAATCGTAAAAGCGAATACACGTATACCCATACGTGTTTAACGGAGCGGCGGTTAGCTCTGCATCGAGGGAGTTTGTTCTTAAATAAATCTCTATTGTTCTAGTTAATCCACCCCGTTACAGTATTTTATAACGTGTTTAATGTTCATAAAGTTTTTGCCCTATACGCTTTAATGCTTCGACGTTTCAGCGCATTTTTAAGATTTTAGCTAAGCCACCTTCATTTACTGCGGGCATTATATTACGTGCTTCGCAACATCCATCTATAAATTGATGTAACGGTATATTACATCGGTTGAATTTTGGTACAAAAGTGATTACATCTTTAAGGCTAAAATTTTTTATGGGTGATACTACATTCCTTTGCAATGAGTTTACTATTGTTCTACCAGTATTCGGTACTAATATTTACTATTCGGTACGTGTGTGGTGTATAGTATCCGGTGCTAGATGTGTTAGTAAATTGTAATATTTTAAATGCGGTTACATAGCGTGTATTATTTTTTGGAGTAAATTCCCGGGGTTCTGTCATTAGTTCTGTCCTCTGTTCATTAGATTTTTTATTACTAATGTAAGTGTAAGTTGTATATTTTCGGAGGTATTATTATAAGCAAGTTGCGGGATGTCTGTTGGAGGAAAGGTTTTATTGTCGTCCGCGATAATGGATTCGTACAGGGTTTTATACAACGCGCTATAGACAGCAGTTAAGAAATTAGAGAGGCCACAGATCAGGGGGCCTCAGATCAGTGATCTGAAGTGCGTGATTTATCAGATTAGCACTCTTAGATCACGCGCGAGAGCCGCCGCCCCCTCCTCCTCAGATCAGTATAAGTTATTAGATTAGCACTCTTACAAGGAAGATAAACGAAGTGTTTCTTCATGTTTCTTATTTTTTCGCAGCAGAGCTACATCTGCATTGTATGTACACATTAATAAATTATATAAATTAATTAAATTCAATTACACATAAATAAATTAAATTCAATTACACATAAATGAATTAAATTCAATTACACCTAAATAAATTTTAATATTTGAAACGCATTTCACATTGAGCGGGGACTCTCGCGCATGATCTAACAGCAAGGTACACCAAGTGTAAGTAAACGATTTCCATGAAAATTTTATATGTGGTAAAGGACAGAAATATAGTCGACATGTATTTTTTTATGTGTTAATACGTGGTTTAAAGGGGTGAAAACTACCCACAAAGTTCACCCCCGAAAATCGTTTTTTTGATATATCTCTTCTTCTAAATGAGATATTCTCTTGGAACCAACTGGATTTTCATTGTTACTCAATAACAGTATCGCGTAGCGAACCAAAGCTCCAAAAGGTTACAACCCTTACATTTTGTAAAGGGGGAAGTGATTTTTTTCCTACATTTTTGTCTGCCAAAATTGTGAATTTAATTCAATCCTCTTCTAACTTTTTTTATTTAGAAGGGCATTGAGGATAAAAGTTGAGGTATTATTTATTTTTTTCTCATTCGAGGTTAAGCTACCCTTAAATTAATTTTTTTATTTTCATTTAAACTAAGCGTTTTGAGTTAAATGTATAAATGAAATTGATGTAACTAATATTGAATCTGTTCAATATACTATGCACGACTAACAAAAAGCCAGAAGTATTCATTCGTGAGGCAAAGAAACCATATAAGGGGTGGAAACTACTCATCACGTTCACCCCCAAGAACAGTTCTTTCATTAATCTCCTTTTCTATAAAACATTTTTTCTTGAAACAAACTGAAAATTATTTGCTACCATGTCACAATGTTATAAGTTATATCACGGATCCAGGGGGTTGCATCTCTTATTTTTCACAAGGGTGAATGTATTTTTTTTTTAATTTTATTCTTGCAAACTAAATGAAACTTCTTTTATTCGGAAAGACATTGAAAACTATAGGTAATGTATTTCGCATTTTCTTTTTAAATTATATATTAGAAGGTAAAGAGTTAAATATTTATCATATATTCTCCTCAGATAAATATTCATTTTTATTACAATAGATAGCTACGATAAGCAAGCAGAATTAAATTTGAATAATACACTAAATGGTAGTCCATTTTACTTCTTATTGTTGGGAAACTTATCTATTAACATTATTAATTTTTTTAGCTGCTGTCGCGAGAATACCGCCAATATGTTTTGCACTGTGTTTCGCCGTTTCTTATAAAATTTTCCTGGGATTGTATACGTGCGTGAGCGTGCGAAAAAGCAGCAGCAGCAGTATTTTAGCAGCAGCAGCAACATTGCAGTAGCAGCAAATAGCAGCAAATCTGAGAGCGAGACAGCGCAGCTGATCAATTCGAGGAGCATCAACCGTTGATTTTCTTCAAGATCAATTACGGCTGATCACCGTAATTGCACCGCAGGGTAGATGCACCTCCCTTTATTATTTCGAAAGTATTTTGTCAACCACGAGCATAAATTTTTGTATTCGCGCCGTGCGTTAGATTTCGCGGCAATTTTCGAATTCTCTCTCTGTCTTTCACCGAATTATAATAAATAATTGTGAATCCTATTCGTGCATTAGTCATTCGGCTCGTAAAAGACTTGTAGTTTTTTATTGATTAAACTTTGTTAATTTTATTCGCCGTTTACGTCATTTCGTTTCCTATTAGCTTAATAGATCTATAAAGGCTTAAGTCTTAATCCGATTTCCTCTAGGGAATTAGGCGGATTAAGCCATTCATATTGAAGATAGATCGAGTTTCACGAGTTGTCGTGCATAGTATATTGAACAGATTCAATGTTAGTTACATCAATTTCATTTATACAGTTAACTCCAAAGCGCTTAGTTTAAATGAAAATAAAAAAATTAATTTAAGGGTAGTTTAACCTTGAATTAGAAAAAAATAAATAATACGTCAACATTGATCCTTAATGCCCTTCTAAATAAAAAAAGTTCGAAGAGGATTGAATTAAATTCACAATTATGGCAGAGAAAAATGTAGGAAAAAAATCACTTCCCCCCTTACAAAAAGTAAGGGTTGTAACCCTCTGGAGCTTTGGTTCGCTACGTGATACTCTTCTTGAGTAACAATGAATATCCAGTTGGTTCCAAGAGAATATCTTATTTAGAAGAAGAGATATATCAAAAAAACGATTTTCGGGGGTGAACTTTAGGGGCAGTTTTCACCCCTTTAAACCACGTATTAGCACATAAAAAAATACATGTCGACTATTTTTCAGTCCTCTACCACACATCAATGTTTCATGGAAAACTGTTACTTATACTTGGTGTACCTTCCTGTTAGATCACGCGCGAGAGTCCCCGCTCAATGTGAAATGCGTTTCAAATATTAAAATTTATTTATGTGTAATTGAATTTGATTTATTTATATAATTTATTAATGTGTACATGCAATGCAGATGTAGCTCAGCAGCGAAAAAAGTAAGCCGACACTGCGGGAAATCGAACTCGCGTCGTATGGATCGATAGATCGTAAACTCTAACGACTGAGCCACGGCTGCTTTTAGCTCTTGATAGTTCTTACTGTGTATATTAATTACACAGCCGAAAAGAGACTAGAACGGCGTCCCCGCGCCTCACTCCCCCCCCCCCTCTCTGCCACTTTATCCGTCTATTCGTATTTTAAGATCGCACGTTATCATTTTGCTTGAATGCATATATTCGTATATATTGTTTTCATATATTCAATTATATATATATTATAACGGGGATTTAGCCCGGTTTACCCCATGAATATATAAAAAAACAATAAATGGGAAATGGTCGAACAAACGAATTCTGAAGCTTCCTGGACTTAGTCGTCCTCCAAGGTCCGGTGCTCGTCACGCCGGTAACAGGACGGCCGCATCAGCGCAGATTCGTAGTGTTGGCTAAGGAACGCGAAACTCGGAAATTCAAAAGCGGTTGTCGGCGCGAGAAGGTAGGATGTTTGAATAAAGCAGTGGGATACGATTAATTAAAAAAGTTTAAAAAGAAAAGAATCTTTAATCAAGAAAAAGATAATACAGATGGTCGAGAGGTGGGAGAGAGCACGCTGAGTGAACGAATAGAAAGAGAGAGCAAACCATCAAGCCGATACTTGCAATGCAGGTGCCTAAACTCTAGGTACGTCGAAAACTTCCACTATTTGCGTTAACGCGTACACACGAACGCCCACGCGTCCGAACACGCCCACGTGTCTGAATCGTCCGCAGAGTCAGATGACGTCGCAATTCCTTCTTGAACAGGGACACACTCTCCAAGGGCGGAGAAAAAGGGCAGCAGGCCACAACCAAAGTCAAACAAATGATGGCAGTTGAAAAAAAGACTCTGTCTGCTCACTCGCATGTCGAGACAGCTACTGCTCGCGCCGCGGGCTGAACTACGCGATTCCATCTTAATGCGCTAATCAGTGCGCACGGTCACTCGCTAAGGCGCGACTATGTTTCTCTCTCTCTCTCCGTGCCCTGCTGTCGCGCACGGAAGTATCCCTGCGTATTCCCATCTCTTTCTCACCTCACTTACCTTGTATCAGAACAGAAGTGCAACTATATATGTAAATATATATAATAATTGAATATAAATATAATAAATTCATGAATATATAGGATAGGTTGGGAGAAATATGTTATTTTAAAATAAATTGTTTTTTTAATTTGATAATTTCAGAAATAAATATCAGTTCAATTGAAAATTAAAATAAACAAAATTCTAATAGTGTGTACACGAAATCTCTTTTGTACCAGGTTCCCTAAAAATATATCTGTGATATCCGTGTATCAAACAATGTAAATTCATTTATATAGATATAAATTGACGAATATAAGTTAATTTAATGATAAATTAATGATATACTTTACAGAAAAGTTGAAGAAAGCTTATACAGCTATATTAGAAAAAACTGGCGATCCACTGGATAATCTAACATTGTATTCACCATTACACAGTGAGGAATCCCTAATCTCCTTTGAGGTATGACTGGTATAATATTATATTATCCAAACAATTATGAGTAATTTAGCGTTATCATGTCCTAGGTAGCAATGATTCATTATTTTAATTATTTAATTAAAATATTACGACAAAAAATAAACATATAAATTATTTTAATATAGATTTATTCACATAGAAAGGTTGTTTTAAATTAAATTCAAACGGAAGAAAGTAAAAGAAATATATAGAAGGCTAAAAAACCGAATTTAATAACAATAAACTGAAATTATGATTCGAGTCACGGTCGCACACAAAGGTCTTCAATAATTTCACTCACACACATACATACCACACATCCAATGTACAATGATGGATGTTTGCGCAGCATCGTAGGCACGAATATGCAATAACAGAAAGATCAATGAAATGTTCAATTGTATACTGATCCTGACATGCCGTTACGTGGGGAACAATATTTTGACATTAACAGCCAGATGCAATGTGCAGATTTTCATGCACCATGTACATGCATAACATTCAACTATACTATATTAAAAATCTCCGTTAAGGTAATGATTGCTCGAACTAAGGGGTGAAGATGAGTGACGTTGGCTTGATAAAAACATTACAAAAGTGGTTAAGTTTGCAGTGCCCTTGATAAACTAACGAAGAGTCCTTGACTCTTGACGTAAGCCGCGGACAGTAGGTGAAATCGTGGTTTTTACGGGATATTTTTTAATTACACTGTAACGGGAGCAAGCAGTTTGCTTGACCTTTATCTGCTGTACCTTAATTTCCCTTGCTCTCAGCAAGGTATAGTGGCCAGCGTTGGGCGCATAGTGAAAACACTCCTCACTACTGGCCTTTGTTTCCGCCACCGATGATTGCCGGACGAGGCCGAGCAAACCCGAAGGAGAGCGCCTCGAAATAGTAGTGAAGGAGAAAGTGAAAGAAAGAGAGTAAGAAAGAGACAGAAAGAGCGCACGCGAACTATACAAGTTTAAGCAGGCGTAGGACGTATGACCAATTAGCGCTCTTTGTCGCAAGCCGCATAATAAGTAAGACAAGAGGGGATGATAGAAAACACGTCGATGACCGCGAGGCTACGTAGATCGCGGCCGACATTTATTAAGTACTTCTCTCATGGCCTCCTTGACATATGAAGGTAGAGCAAGTAGCAGCGTTCAGTAGTTCGATGCAACAAGGTCTACAAGCTTGTCGAGAAAGAGGCTTATCGTCAGGAGGAACACCACGAAGGAGACGTGGACGGCTCATCTGTTGACCCCGCTGAGACGCCTAGTCATCACGAGGACAACGGCATCCCTCTGTGCCTCATTCCTACAGCGAGATCTGCATCACCTGACAAGCCAGGGACACAAGGGTAAGGTTATCTCTTGCTTCGTTATCCTCTCTCCGTCTCTCTTAAGGGTTGGGTTGAGTTAGACTAAGTTCGGCAATACTCCGTAGCCAGGCGTTTACTGGCCGGTTACTAATATTCTTTGTACGAGCAGTGGCTCTTTTGAAACGCGTATCATCAAGACGATCCTGTTGTCGGGCGATCCACGACTTATTTGTCAAAGGTATTATTTGTTAGTAATCAATCATGCGAGTTATTAATTGTTAGTATTGGCAGTAAGTCTTGCGAGTTAGTTTGTTGCCTGGTTCATACTAATAATAAGTTTGTGTTCAATTTCGAAAGTTTATGCGCGAAATCATTTCTTGACCTATCCTCCTTCCTCTTCCCACTCGCATGTCGAGACAGCTACTGCTCGCGCCGCGGGCTGAACTACGCGATTCCATCTTGATGCGCTAATCAGTGCACGCGGTCACTCGCTAAGGCGCGACTATGTTTCTCTCTCTCTCTCCGTGCCCTGCTGTCGCGCACGGAAGTATCCCTGCGTATTCCCATCTCTTTCTCACCTCACTTACCTTGGATCAGAACAGAAGTGCAACTATATATGTAAATATATATAATAATTGAATATAAATATAATAAATTCATGAATATATAGGATAGGTTGGGAGAAATATGTTATTTTAAAATAAGTTGTTTTTTTAATTTGATAATTTCAGAAATAAATATCAGTTCAATTGAAAATCAAAATAAACAATATTCTAATAGTGTGTACACACAATCTCTTTTGTACCAGGTTCCCTGAAAATATATCTGTGAAATCCGTGTATCAAACAATGTAAATTCATTTATACAGATATAAATTGACGAATATAAGTTAATTTAATGATAAATTAATGATATACTTTACAGAAAAGTTGAAGAAAGCTTATACTGTTATATTAGAAAAAACTGGTGATCCACTGGATAATCTAACATTGTATTTTTTTTTATGTTATGTCAGTTCAGCAAAGTTCGGCTGAATAATAATCCTTATAAATGGAGTTAGGTGTGGTTTATCGTGGTTCCTCATAGGCATTTGATAACATTTTTGGAATGGTTTTTGAATGATGTCAAAAATCAAGACACTTCAAACTTTCGCAAACATAACAAAACTTATTCACTTTATCTATACAAGAAATCCTTGACTCTTTATGTATATATAGAAACCTGATGATTAAATCCACAATTACAATTGATTTGATAGATCAAAAAAATAAATTCATGGATTTTTTGAGTCCCTGATTACGAATATGAAAGCAAATTCAAAGTTTCTGATTGAATTTAGTACACTAAATTATTTCAAAAAAGTATACATCTAATTTTTTTTCTTTATTCTCCGTGATTTCACCTTCAAAGTACCTTGAAGGTGACGTGTTTGAACTCAACCGACCTCGTATTCGTAATCAGTGGCATAAAAATCCTTACATAGCGTAATGTCATATACAACGTCTGGTGCATCGCCTTAGAAAAAATGATGAACTGTATAATATTAAGACACGACTAAAATACTTAACTTCAATCAATGATATTTCGATGAAAAAAAAAGATATTTCAAATCCGAAAAATGGATTTTGAAGTGCTACTCTCTGGAGGTCTAACTTGTTTGAGAAAAAAAATTTATTCATTGTGTTACATAACCTCGAATATAGCTAAAAATCGTGTTTTTAGTATTTTTAGGTTATATTATATATATATATATATATATATATATATATATATATATATATATAAGTATTTATATATATATATTATATATATATATATATATATATATATATATATATATATATATATATATATATATATATATATATATATATATATATATATATATATTAAAATACTTATATATATATATATATATATATTTAAGTATTTTTAGGTTATATAATATATAGAATATCTTGGAAACCTAGGGTGATGGATTAATTCTGAGGCCGGGTTAGAATTGAGCGCATCAAAAGTCTTCGGATATATTCTGTCAGTGTTTTAGATATTTTTTTCTTTTTACAAATTTGATGGCTTAATTTATTATAGGTTAGAAATTTAAATTAATTGTTGGTTTTCACTATTTTTATTTTTGATTTAATCTTTCATTATGTGTTATTTATTGTTAATTAAAAGAGAATTAGAGAATAAAAAATGCAAATCGTGATTGCTATCGGCCGATCATACTACTGAAGAGCGGAAGTATAAAAAATTTGCGAGAAAACGTCAATTTGGCGCGCGGATATTTGCACGCATGAACGGAGATCGACGTCTATCAGTCGATTTTGAAAAATTTCAAAACTTTAACAAAATCTTGAAATCTCTCTTCATGCGTACGGGCCTACTGTTTTTATGTTGTTAGCTAATAGCAAAGTTGACGTTGGAGTGTATTTGAAGTTCTTCACTCATATCTAATAAAACTGGTGTGGCTAAAGTGCATTCAGCTTGCACGCTTGGTGTAATGCCTCGGCCATGAGTTAGACCTCCTCGTGTCTTCTTTAAACGCATCAAAGATTGTTCGATGACCATCTCTGACCACGTCCTGGACCAAAAGTTATTCGTGCGTCTAATAGTAAAGAAGCCTTTTGTCATGTATCTATCTAGTTCTATCAATTCTTTTTTTTCGCTTGAAGTTTGTTTTGTTTCTCTTTCAAACCCGTTAAACTGCAACAAACTTTCATCATTTTCTACACGTATGGTAGGATGCACTTTACGTCGTGAAAGTATCTTGTAGCAATGAAAACTAGAACCATTCTGTGACACGATTCAAGGTGTACATCAAAATTGCCGCCACACTCAAATTGTATCAATAATTTAACCACTGTCAACAATTTAAAATAAAGCGCTTATAATTGAGCAGTTGGTTCTTTACATTCTAGCTGATCCAATTTTCTGTAAAATTTCTCGTAAGCTGTTAGAAAATTTATGTTGTTCAAATACTGTGGAAGTTCTGGTCCTTACTCTGATATAATAGTATTTAAAATTGCCTTCTCATAATTATTAAACTCACATTCGTCCATAATTAGTTTACCTAAGGTCTCATGAACTAATGAATGTCCGCGAATAGATATATTATACACAGTGCGACTTAAAACTTTATCGCAAGAGTTCTCGGCATATATTTCGCAAAATAATTCTCTGAGCCCACTACCATTCATAATGTAAGATACTGTACCTGCGCAAGAAAACCAAAGATGAAAAATTCTTATTTGTCTTATTATTCTTTTAAAAAAATCGAAATATGATTCTACTTCCTGTGACTTTCAAAACAATGCCGAGTCATACGTAACATACATATACTCTTGATTTAACTTTATACGCAAATTTTTGGTTCGCTAAGTGATGTGAAAATAGTATCAAGATTATTCATTGGTGTACTGATAAATGGCAATATTTTAACATTACTTTGTTGAAATGCATCATGTTAAGTTACTTTTTCCAAGCGCTCCGACCATACATCCAGAAAAAATCAAGTTTCGTTAATTTTATATCTTTTGGAATTTTGTGAATTTTATATCTTTTGGAATTTTGTGAATTTTATATCTTTTGGAATTTTGTGAATTTTATCAATATTTTCTATAGTTATATTTTTAAGGCCCACCTCTCTTTGCTTACTAAAACATTGAATTTCAATATGTCCGTATTTTGCCAACTA